AAAGGACAGTATTAAGTATGACGAGACAATACCTCATAAGAGACAACCATAATAAACTTGAAATGACAGTGGCCGTGGTCCAGCACCTTGCCCAGTGATTCGGTATCTTCTCCATGCCAGTTATATGGTACCAAGCCGTGGATCAATACCTGCATGTTGGTGTAGCAGGTGACAGAATTTATTAGGTGGGATGATAAACAACTCCATCAGGCACCGGGTCATCCTCATGTCTCATTAATTTAGGGGATTCACAACAGCCTATTACAACAGCTGGGACGGACGGACGCACGCACGCACACACACACACACGTTCATGAAGCTGAATCAGTAGATTTTTTGAAGTACTGTAAAAGACAAAAGGGGAGAGCAATAGGCGGTGTGGTACCCTGTCACTTACCGGCTCAGCTACCTCTCCCAGCCCTCCCCTTCATAACCCCATCTAGCCCTCTCCTCCACAACCTTCCCCAGCCCTCTCCTCCACAACCTTCCCCCAGCCCTCTCCTCCACAACCTTCCCCAGCCCTCTCCTCCACAACCTTCCCAGCCCTCTCCTCCACAACCTTCCCCAGCCCTCTCCTCCACAACCTTCCCCAGCAACCTCCCAGCCCTCCTGCACAACCTTCCCCAGCTCTCTCCTCCACAACCCTGTAATAAATTAATCCAAATATTCCCTTCCATCACCTAACACACTAAGTATACACTACATTCTCTGGTACAGTATCTCTTCCCCCATACCTCACCATTCATAGGTCGACTAACCGTAGGTCTAACTCACCTTTTAACCCTTTGTGGACGGTGAATAAACCCCCCATACCTCACCATTCATAGGTCGACTAACCGTAGGTCTAACTCACCTTTAACCCTTTGTGACGGTGAATAAACCCCCCTTCCGACATTGGCCAAATAAAATAATAAAAGCGCGTCCCTTTTATAGTGAAAAGAGTTACCGATACTTCATCTTGTTCGTTCCTCCACCAAGTGTCAGGCGAGATACCTCTTAACCTTCTCTTAGTAACTGCGACACGATGCTGATCAGTTGTTACAAAAATATTCTCACTTGAGATTTGTTATCCTAAAACGGTGGGACAATGGGTAAAAAGGGTGGGACAATGGGTAAAAAGGGTGGGACAATAGGTAAAAGGGTGGGACAATGGGTAAAAAGGGTGGGACAGTGGGTAAAGGGTGGGACAGTGGGTAAAAGGGTGGGACAGTGGGTAAAAGGGTGGGACAGTGGGTAAAAGGGTGGGACAACAGCTGGGTCAGTGTGTGTTTGGCTGTTGTCGGTGTCATCTGGTGGGAAAACTTTTATGCATTAGTCATTTCCTTACTAAAACCACCACCACTTTTACTCACCAGACTCCACAGGTCACCACTACCAGTCAGTGTTAAACAAGAGTCATCACGAACCATTATCAGCAACCAGTTAGCGACTCCTACCAATTACACCCAATTGCCTGTTACTACAAGCCTTATCACTAATTACATCTACTAGTTTCTTGTCACAGCCACTCTAGTCCCTATTAGTGATCAGTCTCTGTCACAATTTAAGTCACCAGTAGCTACCAGAATACAGTCACTGTAAACCATCTGTCACTGCCAGCCACCTGGCATTGTCAGTTATCAGTCACCGAGAGTCAACAGAGAAAACATTTATAATGAACCCACAATCACTTTTTTTCTCTGTTAAAGGCTAACAACTTTGAAACATTTGATATGATCAGTCATAACAAGACACTTCCTTACACTGCAGTAGGTTAGGTTAGGTTAGGTTAGGTCAGGTCAGGTCAGAACGGTTTGGATTGTCCTGGGAAGCGTATATTCTATGTTACCATCACTATAATAGTCTTCCACCCATGTGCCAAAGAAAATAAATGTACTGTCATAGCACTGTAGATAAAACATAAGAGGAAATTTCTGAAGCAATTTTCTCACACCCACAAAGAACACCACTCCTGGCCACACAGACATTGCAGGTAAAATATGTGTAGAAGTACAGTGCATTCTTCAAAATGTTTTTTCTGTAAAAAATTATTTGGCTTCGGTGTAAACAGCTAGCAGTGATCAGTGCAAACAAAATGTTTATGGATGACAGGTACAGGAGGCAGGTGTGCCAGTCAGGTGCACGGGGACCTTGGCTGTCGGACCAGCTGACTTATCCCTCAACCAACCACCTAACAAACTCAACCTGCATTTATCTATGCTTATACACCACGTTGCATATGTCATCTTTGTCAATTTGTTATAGTTGTTAGTTTAATATAGTAGAATCGTAGAGTAAAGAAATAAGAGCAGCTCAAAGGGTGTGTGGAAACAGTGGTGCTATACTTTGAATACTGATGACATCCAGATCTACATAACCCTAAGTTTTTATTTGTTCCCAAATTAATAGTTGAAAAAAAAAGGTACAAATTACCATTTCATTTCCCATTCTATGTAAGTAAGGTTAAAGGAGTAATAGGATTTTGCAGTTAGTACTGTAGATGTACTTTATTTTACAAGCATTAAATCCCAATAGGGCACAGCTTCATGAAGTGTGACCGGTGTATTGTACAACCAAATAAGTGTAACATGACAGGAAAAACATAGGTATGGGAAACACTGTACGGTATACTGTTAATATAGGGACTGTATAGATATATCCTGCAAATGTACAAATATACGGATTAAATTTGACCATAATGGACAAATTTTTTTTAAACTCTCAACATAAGAATAGAATCTCTCTGTTTTGGACGCTCTTCAAACCCACCTTATTACTGTATTTCCTCTGACTAAAAATGGAAGGTGTTTAATTACAACCCATTATTATTTTGTCCATGTTCTAGGTCAGTATATCCTGACTGCTTCTTGTAAGTATACTGTAGTGCACATTTAACTTTCTATTCAGTAATGTAAAACAATTCAGATTTCTTTTCTTTATACATTAATACATTTTCATCTACTCAATACTGTGTTAACAATTTACCTTCCTCCAATTAACACATAAATTCCCAGATACAAGTTACTACGCAGAACCATTCTCTGAAAGTAGGTCACCTTCCCTCTGACCTTTGGAGCCCTAAAAACAATCCTTCTCCCCTACCTAACGGATATCCACCTTAGGAAGTTTTACCACCGCTGGCCTAAAAAAAACAACTTCCTGTACAGAGTAAAATATTACTTCATATACAGGTTTTCAACAGACACATTACACCGAATCAAAGTTGATAAAAAAAAAGGTCCCACAAGACATGACATATATAACACGGGAAAAATAAAATAATTGGAAAATATCGACACAAACGTAGAAAACTCCCACAAACAAGTCTCCTGCCATTCACAAAGAACTTCTAAAAACCCAGAAAGTTCATCTCAAATTTCAAAAACCAAACACATTAAGAAACACTATCCATCTGCCCATCAGCTTTAACCCACCTGAAAACTGAAGCCAAGTAAACCAGTCATGTAAACCCAACCGCCCAATACTCCCTATACGTACATAGTCAAACAGCCGTCACAAAGTATTAAACTTTTCAGCTTCAGGCCAAGACTACATCTCCAATACTCATTTAAAAATACTTTGGTCCAATAAACAACCTCTGAAATTTTTGGCCATTCCTTGATACTTTACGAAATACCTACCATACAGTAAACAGCCATTATCATCCCAATACTGTTAATCACAACATCCCAAAATTAAAACTGAACAAATCACTTATAAAACTAAGCTTATGCTGTGTACTTAAGTTACAGACTAGTCATCAAATCTAAAACTAAGCTTATGCTGTGTACTTTAGTTACAGACTAGTCATCAAATCTAAAACTAAGCTTATGCTGTGTACTTAAGTTACAGACTAGTTATCAAATCCATTCAGCTTCACATCCCACTGGCTCCCATGTAATTCGTTATCCATCTTTTCACTTCGCCATCACCTCAATATATTCTTGATGGGATTTACTCCAGACATTTACCTCTCTAAACTACTCTGGCTGCAACAGACATTAATACTGTACACCTTTTAACACAGTTGTACAATACATTTACATCAGCAAAATATTACAAGCCTAGGAATAGGGTTCCATTCTCTTTCTGCCCCTTTTCAACTTGTTCATCCATGACTTACAGCCACCCACTCAATACAATACTGTACTGTACTGTACTTCTATCATACACAGGCAAACTCACAGTAGCCTTTTGACATGCTAAAACAAGAACCCCTCCTTTCACATCCACCTTGAAATTTCATAACAAGACAAAAATGGTTTTCACGCCCTCATCCTTAACACACTCACAAATTCTGATCATGGCATTAGACTGCAAAAGACATTCACACCAGTACAAACAAAATAAATAATGCAATTTCACACATAAACTCAAAACAGTAAAAGTTCTCACAATCACCACCTATGGTCAACTCAAGAAAACACATAACTTACAAATACAATTTATCAGAATCATCATAAACTGTGCCAGCTATAACCACTACACACCCCACAAAAAAGTCAATCTTAGAACTACATTAGGTTGAATAAACTCCAAAAACACCAACCACTTTTATTTAATGACAACTATTTCCTATACAGAAGGAACACATCAACATTATAAGTACTGTTCCTCAATTCCTAGCACAAGCCTTGCAGACAACCACCCTTGTAACATACTCCACCAACCTCCTCCTCCTTCACCACATACACTAAAACAGGACCATCATCATACCATAAAACATCCATTACCAAATACTGTAACAGTCTCCCTCAAAAACTAATTCACTAAACTCCAACTTAGCACCACTTGCCATACACCAGCTTTGACTCTATCCTTTTTATGCAGACAAGTATTTAAAGTAACTTCTACAAGAGATCTTGGGAATAACAGGTAGAGGTTCCTGGAGGCTGTCAGGTCATGAAGAATTGAACCAGGGAAACATAACAGCAAATATCATCCACTTAATACAGATTGTTCTTTTAGCCTATTCACTTGGTAAAGATATAAGAAAAAAAAAAGTCTTCCTTTCAACTTACCTATCACCAAAACATTTCTTCCAAAAGTCCGCGGCATCTCCTTTTGTAATCCGAAATTGGTCCCCTGCGAAGGAACCCTGAGGAAATGTGGCTTTGAGCTCTGACAGCATATGTGAAAACACGAGTGAGAGTTTTGTGAGGTTGCGGCGGCAGTGAGAGCTTTCATCGAACATTAGCTCTTTTCCTTCTTTAAAGAGCAGCAGAGCTTGTTTACACTTTCTCATCATGTTCTCCACAAACACCTGTGGGGAATGAGAGATAAGATTATTAGTAACAGGTAGCTAGGCCTAATGATTCTCTCTAACAAAACTATCAAAAGCACCAAAGATGGACCACCATTAACAGCAGAGCGTGCAAGGCCTCGGCATGAAAGGCATCAAAGTACAGCAGAAAAAATTAATGGCAAATTTTCCAGAAAGACTGGAACAGTTGCTAGGCCCTCAAGGTATTGACAAATATAAATAAAATAAAACCGAGTTAAACCACAAACAATAAGCCTTATCAAGATGGCTGAGTTCTGTACTGTACTAGACCCCCACCATTACTCCACCCCCTCTCTAAAAGCCTTAACTTAAGGCTAGATTTTTCCTGGATGCTCAGTTCCAAAACGCTACCTTTCATACCCAGAAATTCGCAATTTAAATGCAAAAATATCCATTTTAATAAAAACAAAAAACTTCTTTTAAAACTAATCAAAACATAAATTGTGGGAGATATTCCCTCCTGCACATCTTCAGCAAGTTAAGACTGTGGGGTGCCACATGCTAAATTAATGTCATTGACAATTTTGAAAGTCTAACCTAATAATCTTTAGTTTCTGGAGAACAATGCATCACATACCCTGCATAGTGCACCTCTGCTCCAACTCTTAGTGTTATATGATTACCAGGCAATCACCTGACACAATGGGTCACCTGTTTAAATCAAACAGCCATTCACTGAGTGAGCGGTAGAGCCCATCAACCCATCAGCAGAATGAGAATCTAACTTTACACACTGGAGATGTGAAAGGCAGTACCTGTAGAATGCAGTGCCAACTATGTTGTCTCCTTGTGTACTAAAGGCTTAAGTCCTCATCATGCAGTGGCTACCATGTCCCTAATGGGATGTCAGGCATATGGGACCCATTCTCACTAAACTGTACAGTATTATACCAGCTAATCTACTGTATACAGTATATCCACTGTTCTTAGCCTTTTAAACTTCCTGTACTGTACTGAAACACCTCCGTACAGAACTGCTCATGCACCCCCTAGCTGTCTATAAATCACTACAGTCAACCCTAAATATTGTAGTTTTTTAGGTGCCTCAATTCTATTACTGTTGGCCCAAATACTTTGGGACTGGATAAAATGATGATGCATACAGTATGTGCCCACAGATTTTGTTTGATGATGCAGGCCGTGGGGGTGACTCATAGCAGTATCTCCGAGGAGAGTAGGGAGGTCGACCCTTTCCTGTTATTACAAGGGTAATACAGTAGTCGGGAAAAAACAATAGATTCTTTGGTTTCATGACATAAGGACACAATGTACAATACTGTACAGTACATTTGTGTGGAATGTGACACTGCTCTCTGCCTTCAACCATGCTTTGAACAGTGCCACACCCGAAGGCACTACAAAAGTATGGTTTGTAGCATCTAATATATAAATATATAAGGATATCCACGTAACTATAAGAGTATGAATATAAAAACTCACGCGTGTAGACGCTCGAAAATTGATACAGGTCCAATATTATTCCAGAACGAAGTTACCGGTATTCAGAGTGTGAGTGTATAATGTTTTACATTTTCTCTTTTTGACAAATTTTATTGTACATTGTGAACTGCATTACAGGGAAGTGTTCAAAGTAGTTATCAGAATTAAATTGTTTCCATTAAAAAGAGAATAGTAATTGGCACTATTTTCTCAGAGTAAAAGTCTCACAACACACTGTCAAGGTGGGTTCCTGTTTCTATCAGTGAATATGTGAGGGTTTAAGTGCCTTTTATAAAATTTGTATGTCCTCTGTGATTAGATAATATCTGATAACATGGAATTCAAAAAGTAAAAAATATAATGCATGTATACTGAAAATAAATACTGTATTGTACTGTACCCCATCAAGGTGAAAATCTTTAACAGAGCAGACAGATGGGGTGATAGACGCGGACTCACTTAATGTAATTATGCTACAATGTGAAGACCCTATTTCTACCACTCTCACTTTGCAAGAGAAAAATTTGCAACTGGTCAGATGGAAGGATCAAAGCTCATGTCAACAGTATAGCCATGCATGACACCACAATGCAGTTGGGGCTCATGTGGTCTTATGGGAGCTTTTTTTAAGGAGGGAAGTGGAATTTGATACTCAATCACCCTAGGAGAAGGTGAAGGCTCAGGTGGGTCCAGTATAAACTTTATGGAGTGCTTATATAGCTGGGTATTTTTGTTCTCCCTATCTTACCTCCCAATATGTTTCTTATATGAGAATACTGTACAGGTATTAAGTAATTGTAATGTGTTGGTTCCATTACCAGAAAAAATTAAAAAATATATGATATACAGTACCAGCATATATTTTAGTTAACTCCTTCACAACTGAATGCCAATTTTAATATCTTAATTCCCCAATGCTAGGCAGTTTTATTCAGCACAGTGGTTAATGGTGAGTGTAAAAATCTATTATGGTATGTAGGTATTTTCTTTCGAATGCCAGAGCAAAGGTTTTAAGAATTTTTAACATCTGATACTGCATAGTGTTGAAAGTTGGTCCCATAGGCATGACTGCCTGTTAGGGGCAGTGTGGATACAACACACTGTATACTAAGCCTTCAGTACACAAGGAGGCAGCATGGCCGGTACTGCACTCGACCGCCTTCACTTCCCCAAGTTGTAAGCTTAGGTACCCATTTACTGCTGGGTGAACTGGGAGTGCCCAGGGATTGAACCACCGATCCTTGGAACAGAAGGCGACTCCTGTATCCACTCGACCACTGCGCTCCTTGTATAGTGTTAGCTAATACAGGGTGTCTCAAAACAACCCATACTCAAAGTTTGGCAATTTATAGTACAGGTACTGTAGTTTAATGACTAACGATAGCCATCCATGGTTTCACGCGGCACATGCTGGAAACATCGCAGAAGATTGCTGAGTAATGTACCAGTCACGTGACTTCACGCATAAGCGGGTAGAGGGAGGTAAGTGTGAGTCAGTCGACAATGAGTCTTAAGCGGGCCGAGAGGGTCGCTCTGTTGGAGGCGTACTTTGAGTGCAAATCTTATCAACGGTGTTTTGAAATCTTTAAAAGGAGATTCCTCGATAGCCTGACACCATGTACGGCATAAAATGAGGAGTCCATAAATACAACATTTCATTTTAATTTTTCCTTCATATTTTTTCCCCTGCTGTCAAATATTGTTTTAAGAACTATTAATGACATATGGACACTATGGTTTTGTCTTGATAAAAAGTACAGTACAGTGAAGCCTCCATGTAACAGACCCTCAATATAACACATTTTAATCTCTATATAGTCCATTAAATACAGGTTTCAATGTTGCAATAATGAACCAGTTTCCATTTTCATGTTTTTCTGGAGAACTGACACTACTGTATTTGGAAATGTTGTTTAGAGATGAAATACACATCCAAAGGGTTAAGTCAACTTCAGTCAAATGTTTGTTTTACCTAGACCCTATACTGTAAATACATATATCCTAGCAGAACTAATTTTCACAGCCCTGCCCTACTTCTGCTGGACTGAAAGCCTACTATGAAATTTTAGTGTAAAACCTCCATTGGCAAAGTAGTAACCTAATACTGTATATAATCTCACCTTAATTATAAACAGACAATTAAGGACAGTATATTATGCATTACACAATAGAGGAGACTGATTTCCTCTCCACTAGCCTATAGTTTGAGTCACCTGACAAGTTGGCAGAGCAATGAGGTAGATGAGAAACTGAAGATACCATAATTGAATAAACTTAGGTATAATTTATGAAAGGGTAAAAATATACATAAGCCAAGAGGATAAAGATTCAGTTTGGCTCTGTGGTCTTAGTGATTTACCACAATATTTTTGACAAGATATCTCCCACTAGGCCTGTGTTTGTCGTCGAGCACAGACTACTGTATAATTCCAGTGAGTGCTACAAAATAAGTTTCAAAACAAGGGGGGCAAACTAAAAGAAACAATCAAACCTAACCTAACCAACCTCACCAAGGATTGTTAAATTTAGACTGGTTGGTTCTCATTTCTTGCTTCATAAGTGTTGGTGATAGCTAATCAAAAATAGCTGTTCAGGTATCAACTCGCACATATTGGTCAAGGTCCCCCCTAATAATAAAAACCCACAGAACTAAGCTAAGCCTTTACCCCTCATCATACAGCATCACCTAAGCTAACCTACCTTGGTCTGGCCACTGAATAGAAATATTTTACTGTTTTTGTCAGTTTTATACATTAGTGTGCATACAATTAAAGGTAACATGTAGATACCACACCAGTATTTAACCCTTTCATTGTAATACCAGAATAAATCCCGATAGACTTGTAGTTAGCTGCAATAACCGGGTCTTCGTGACGGCATTCAAAAAATGTTTAAGGTCCCATGAGGTTGCACCACCTTCCTCCGAATGTGGAATGATCTTTGCTACCGGGTAAATGCTGCCATCTCACGGTGGCGATGTAAACCGGTGTTGACTCTGCCTCCCACACATGCACCAGTGATTCCCAATTATTGTTTTTCTTCATTATTTTGTACTTATTGATGTTATACAGTATTGCCATGACATTGTGTCTTTATGTTATGGTACATAAATAAATGCATTAAATCATAGTGTTTTAGGTCTACAATGATTGTTTATGGTAATGTTGTTAAGTGAGTGTCCCTTTAACTCTGTCCCTCTACCAATGATTGTTTTGGGTGGCAATTTCAAGTGATTCTTCATTATAAATAATATAAATGACTGACCCTTGCTACAGGTAATAAAAAGTTCTGTTTCATATATTAGTATAATGGTCGCTAAGAACTTTCAACAACATCTGGTATACCTCTGGCCAATTTTTATTAGATAAAATGAGAACACCAAAGATGAACCACATGTCACCCAGCCAAAGAATAAAAATATGCTCAAGTTGATGTATTGATACTGGTGCATCCGTTCCCCTGTAAGCTGGGACGTACGAGATGTGTCATCCAGAGTTACAGAACCCTTACACCACTACATCATGCATTTCATGACTTTTTTTTCTCTGTTGAAGAAAAGTCATCCACATGCTATAATCTACATCCAGTCCCCACCTTTTAATTGTTTATAATTTTATGTTCCTGCAAAATTTTCATTCAGAACCGTATGACTGACTCGTGCACCTGTCTATCTTCTCTGTCATTAATACACCGTTCTCTCTCTCGGTGTGAGAAATATGTTTTTTCCGAATGTTTAGACCATTCTAAGACATTTTTCTTCTATGATATTTCTAATACCGAAAGAAATATAACCTAACTTAACCTACCCCTTTTTCTGTGTAAAAAAAAAAAACATAGAAAAATCACCAAAAACCAACCTAACCTAACCTAACCCAACCCAACCCAACCCAACCCAACCTAACCCAACTAAAACATATTCTATGATCATCAATTAAGGTTATGTAGGTATAATTTGGTTTGATCATTTTTCCTTTTTTAAAGAACCACAAAAGCAACAGCCAACATGAAGAGTCTTGTTTACAACAGGTGACACTTCACTGGAGATGTTATATAGAAGTTTACTAAAATAGACAATATAAAATGTTGAGGATTGTCTTTAGTTATGGCCAAAGGTTTAGCCCCACAACCTTTGCCACACTCACACACAGATGAGTTAACACAGTTTGTATCAACGTACTTCTGGCGGTCACACTTGTTCTGTTCTTAACACCATAATGGACTGTTATTTGATCTACTAAAACATATATATCATAAATAAAGTTTCAATCAAGAATATTAAGAGGTAATATTTTAGTTTGTCATCCGGGGAATAGGTCAAATTAGGTCAGGTTAGGTTAGGTTAGTTTGGAGATCTAAATACTGGGATGATCCAAACTAAAATTTTATCTATCAAGAAATAAAGTATTAATCCTTTCTTTACTGTAGATCTTCATAGCTACATTAAATAGCTTACATGACACCAAAACCACATTATATTTTTGTACACTTAACCACTACCCCATGTGTTCAAGGTACCAAGTCCCTCACTTTACACTAGCTGTTATAATGGTTTGAGTTCAACATCACCAAGAAAAACCAAAATATCAGAAATTAATTAAAGTTATTTGTATATTGTAGAAAATAAGATTGTGTTGTTATTAGAGAAGCAATACCACACTACACATCAATACCACACCAGGTTATAATAATTCTCAGTACATTTTCTTCAGTCTTAATGTACATTTTACATTACTTTCAAAATGACAGTAACTTCAAGATATTTAAAGGACTGACAATGTAGTTCTTTACACAAGAGATCGTGAACACTACTTAGGTACACATTTACCTGAGAAATACAGTAATATATTCCTTCATTATTCTAAGACAGGGACACAGGTGGTGATATGAGTGACCAGGATTGAGGTGTGTAATAGTAGTACTTACTGAACTACCCACTGAAATAAAACATTAACTCAGTAAACCCCCGTGTGTGGTGTTGGTTCCCACTCACTACCCCAAGCTAACCCAGTCAATGAACTCTGTCTTACCTTGAAATACTCATTACTATTAAGAGCAGCAAGGTTATTCTCATATTTAGTGTAGATAAGTCTGAGATGTTGGTAGGTGTCCGGTAAAATGTCCAGAATGAATGGAGGGGAGTTTTTCAAGTTCATTTTAGATTGCTGACACTGCTTTACCACTTTATCCATTAATTTCCACGTCTTTTCTAAAGTTCGTCTTTCTATTACTAATTTCGGTGGAGCCATAGCATCTGTAAAGGCACCGTGCAACCGTGAGATTAATGATGAGATATTTTTTGGCTGTCCGTTCCGAGCCTTTCCACTAGTAGCCATCTTGATAGCACTAGTGATGGCCAGGAGCACCAACTGACCCACACCACAGTTATGAATGAACTCTTCCCGCTACCCCTCCACTAATAATATTCTTATATATTATGTTATATATAGTTTCTAATTGTTGGTTTATTGTGAAATGATGGTGTTCTCTCTATGCTGTGGTGTTATGTACTGAGTGGTGAACGCTACCACATAGTCTTTTCCTGTTATGTGAGATAATGATATCCTGAGTGATATGAACCGGATTTACTGGTGTCCTCTACTTGCAAACAGTTAAATTTAGAAATATATTGAAAAATAGTATAATCTGTAAACATATATACCTTTTATTATGAATGAAATGATTAATATTCGAAGAGGTTGGTAAACCTTCACTGAATATTTTGGGTCGAGCGGAGAAGAGCCAGGCAAGGTGATGGATCCTCTCGCACGCCAACCTCGCTCTTATTATCTCACTTATTAAGGCTCACGTTTCTCATACAGCCTTATGAACACGCTTACCCAGGCTGTTCCCTGGGGCAGCTTTCTGTACTATAAGTTTCTTCATTTCATTGAACACATATTATACCTGTTCTCAGTTTTAATAATGAATGAGATCATAGTAGTAACTTTTACATGATGTGCGACTTACTGTGGTATAAGTCATGTATAAACTCGGTGACAGTAATTTTTCACTTGCAGGTCATATGTAATTATATATGTTTCATGATTATTTAATGCTCACGGGGTAAAAAAACACAGTATTTGTACTTAAGAGTCGGTTTTGCTGAGTATAAAAATGCACATACAGTATACAGTTTCCTTAACAAAAACATGGACCAACTATCTAGGCAATATTATTCTAATTCATAATTTCGATTGTTCATTAAATCCTCGCACCAACTGATCGGTATTTAATTCTAGCATCCACATTTATGCTCATATTCACTACTTTACCACCACATTTACACATTTTCTTTTAATTTACAGTCATAGTTATACATTTACAGTCCCGCTCGCACATTCACACTCACCCTTTTACATTTTCACACAGTGTAGTCGAGAGGTGGGTACAGATAGTTAGAGGGAAGTTACTAAATGAGGTAGAACAGAGAAAGAATGGTAGATAAACAGAGATACAAAATAGACTGGTAATATATATGAAGAGAGGAGAGAAGCGGAAGCAAAGAGAGAAACGGGAAATGAGATGGAGAGACATTGGGATGAATATAGAGAGAGAGAGAGAGATGGGAGGAGGTAGGGAATTAGTCAATGAAAGAGAGAGAGAGCGAGAGAGAGAGAGGGGAAGTAGTTTAATCGTTGTATCTTATGAATATGACCTTTCGACTTTTGGTGTTGGTTTAAAGGTTTAATAATATTTATTTTGTATTAGTTTTGAGAAATAAGTGTTCAGTGAATAAGAAGCGTATGCAATGTAAATGTGAAGCATAGATATTTACAATGGAGACGATTTTCTTAGGCTTTTGCATCTACAATAATTTAATTTACTGTAGATCTTTCATCTGTATTCGCTTAATCCTGATACTCTGCCTAAAAGCTTCCAAATATTTTGTATCTCTTTTATTTAAGTTTTCGTCTCAACCTGTTTTCCTTATTTTATCTCATTTACTAACAGATCCGCGGATGTTCAGCTTTCTCTATCCCATTTCTCTGTCTGCTAATTTTGCTCTGGCTCAGTACTTATGTTCCGTACACTTCTATGACCATGATATCGAGGAACTTAATACATTCTATCATCCCTCATTTAAGTTAGAGATTCATTCTTCTCAACCCACAACAGTGTTCCGGGGCGCACCCAGAAATTTAATAAGTTAGGGGAGGGATGGGGCTCAGTCTTCTTTTGTTCTTGTCAGTTAACTTCCTTTACTTTATTCACTTATTCTCTTCGCTCCAGAACGCTGTAGCTCTGTAGCAAGTCGGTCATTTCTCTGTTAAGCACTACCGGTCCAGAATGAATCTGTACCTGCTAAAGTGCTTGTCAAGTCTGGTCCTGAAGGAGTTCACTCACTCTCGGTGCCGCCTCAACACTCTCTGGCAGGTTATTTCAAGATTTCACAACTCTTATAACAAAAAGTTCACTTTGACAATTTCTGTGTTTGTGACTTATTTAACTTGAGGCTGTGACCTCTAGTTGACCGGACATCCAACTTGAGGCTGTGACCTCTAGTTGACCGGACATCCGCTAGTTCCAGGTTTGAACATCCCGACTGAGTAATGCGTTCTGAAGTACAGTGTGGGGTATGAGATTGTTTGGTTCACACTCAGGATGGGTTGGAGAAAGGAAACTCACAATGTGCTCTCTATATACATGTTGTATTGGATGTACAATGCAGCTTGGTGCTGGGAAGGCAGCATGGTTACAAGCGTGATGTAGAGAGAGCTGGTTGGTGAGGACGCTCAGAGAAGGACAGCTTGTGGGTCGCCATGCTCGCCAGCGGGAGTGGCGGCAATCGCCTTACGGGCGATTAACGGCGGTAGGGGGGCCATCAGAATGAATGGCGGCAATCGCCTTACGGGCGATTAACGGCGGCAGGGGGGCGATAAGAATGAGTGGCGGCAATCGCCTTACGGGCGAGTAACGGCGGCAGGGAGGCGATAAGAATGAGTGGCGGCAATCGCCTTACGGGCGATTAACGGCGGCAGGGGGGCCATAAGAATGAGTGGCGGCAATCGCCTTACGGGCGATTAACGGCGGCAGGGGGCCATAAGAATGAGTGGCGGCAATCGCCTTACGGGCGATTAACGGCGGCAGGGAGGCCGGCGCAATCGCCTTACGGGCGATTAACGGCGGCAGGGGGCCATAAGAATGAGTGGCGGCAATCGCCTTACGGGCGATTAACGGCGGCAGGGGGCCATAAGAATGAGTGGCGGCAATCGCCTTACGGGCGATTAACGGCGGCAGGGGGGCCATAAGAATGAGTGGCGGCAATCGCCTTACGGGCGATTAACGGCGGCAGGGAGGCCATAAGAATGAGTGGCGGCAATCGCCTTACGGGCGATTAACGGCGGCAGGGAGGCCATAAGAATGAGTGGCGGCAATCGCCTTACGGGCGATTAACGGCGGCAGGGGGCCATAAGAATGAGTGGCGGCAATCGCCTTACGGGCGATTAACGGCGGCAGGGGGGCCATAAGAATGAGTGGCGGCAATCGCCTTACGGGCGATTAACGGCGGCAGGGGGGCCATAAGAATGAGTGGCGGCAATCGCCTTACGGGCGATTAACGGCGGCAGGGGGGCCATAAGAATGAGTGGCGGAAATCGCCTTACGGGTGATTAACGGCGGCAGGGAGGCCATAAGAATGAGTGGCGGCAATCGCCTTACGGGCGATTAACAGCGGCAGGGGGGCCATAAGAATGAGTGGCGGCAATCGCCTTACGGGCGATTAACGGCGGCAGGGAGGCCATAAGAATGAGTGGCGGCAATCGCCTTACGGCCGATTAACGGCGGCAAGGGGACCATAAGAATGAGTGGCGGCAATCGCCTTACGGGCGATTAACGGCGGCAGGGAGGCCATAAGAATGAGTGGCGGCAATCGCCTTACGGGTGATTAACGGCGGCAGGGAGGCCATAAGAATGAGTGGCGGCAATCGCCTTACGGGCGATTAACGGCGGCAGGGAGGCCATAGGAATGAGTGGCGCAATCGGCCTACGTGGCTTAACAATCCATGCAGGTGCCATAAGCAGAGTGGCGGCAATCGCCCACGGGCGATTAACGGCAGGGGCCATAAGAATGAAAGTGGCGGCAATCGCCTTACGGGCGATTAACCCGGCGGCAGGGGTAAAATATAAGAATGAGGCAAAACGCTCGCGGGCGATTAACGGCGGCAGGGAGGCGATAAGAATGAGTGGCGGCAATCGCCTTACGGGCGATTAACGGCGGCAGGGAGGCCATAAGAATGAGTGGCGGCAATCGCCTTACGGGCGATTAACGGCGGCAGGGAGGCCATAAGAATGAGTGGTGGCAATCGCCTTACGGGCGATTAACGGCGGCAGGGAGGCCATGAGAATGAGTGGCGGCAATCGCCTTACGGGCGATTAACGGCGGCAGGGGGGCCATAAGAATGAGTGGCGGCAATCGCCTTACGGGCGATTAACGGCGGCAGGAGGGCCATAAGAATGAGTGGCGGCAATCGCCATACGGGCGATTAACGGCGGCAGGGGGGCCATAAGAATGAGTGGCGGCAATCGCCTTATGGGCGATTAACGGCGACAGGGGGGCGATAAGAATGAGTGGCGGCAATCGCCTTACGGGCGAATAACGGCGGCAGGGAAGCGATAAGAATGAGTGGCGGCAATCGCCTTACGGTCGATTAACGGCGGCAGGGGGGCCATAAGAATGAGTGGCGGCAATCGCCTTACGGGCGATTAACGGCGGCAGGGAGGCCATAAGAATGAGTGGAGGCAATCGCCTTACGGGCGATTAACG